TCCCCTGCCTCCCACTCTCTGGCCCGTCGCGTAATGAAGCAATTAGAGACGAGTCTTGGTCACCGACCGCAGCCTTGCCCCTCCCACCCCCTTGGTAGAGAGGGGAACTTTATGCTTTTTGTTTCTACAAATTATGCTCCAAAATCGACGTCAATTATGCTCGAAAATGCTTTAAAAATCCCCATTTATGCTCCAAAATGCTTCATAAAACCTGAAATTATGCTCCATTATGCTTTTCATTTTTGTCATTTTTTTTCGTTTTTACAGAAATATGCTCGAATATGCTTTATAAACATTTAACTTAACTATGCTCCATTATGCTTGTTTTAATTTTTAATTCAAAATTATTTTAACTGCTCTTTTTTTCCTTTTCTATCCCCGGCCCCGGCAGCTAAATGAGTTAAAGAAAACACTGAATTCCAATTGCAAGGGCTTACTAATGAAATGAAAGACTGTGTATGTAAATGAACAGTAAGGATTTATTTCTTATTAGCTATAAGAGGATAAGGAATATTGATTACTAGGAACAAACAATATCACATATTGCACACATTTGGTTAAGTACTAAATGTACTATGTAATAACTCTACGACTTTCCTAAATTGTTACATGGGATCATCATTATCAAAAATATCGTCTAACTCAACTTCTTCATTATCATTAACATCAGTCTCATCAGCGGAGTCATCACAATCGTTAAAGTATAAAAACATTGAAATTTCCATACTCTGAACACTTAGGTTTGACCTTTTAGGAGAAAATATATCTGCATAGCCAGAAAAGGCCCTCTCACTATCTACATTTCAAACTGGGGAAAATATTACTTGAAGACATACAATGGCAAATGATTTGTTTTCTGAAGCCAGCATGCCTTTCAGTACTTCATGAACAGCATCTACTTTTTTAGATCTATTATTTAGCAAGTAATTCTCCACTTCCTTCTGCAAAACACCGTGTTGCACTAGAAATTGGGCTAAGGGAATCTCCTTTAGCATAGGGATATTTTTATAAGCCCTTGACACAGTGTCTACTGTTCCTGACATAATCTTAACAGGGCAAAATAGAGAAGCACATGACTCAAAAAATAATTTTGCAGTGTCTGTGTCTATCAGGCCAGTGAGTCTGTCAAAACACATTCTACACATGGATCTCATCCTTCTCCCAGCTCTATACATTTCCTGCTTAGGTAGCTGTAGAAGGGCTGCTAAAGTTTTTTCCCCTACCACCCTTTTAATTCTATCACTCTCCATGATAATGGTAAAAGAAACTAAAAGCTGATTTAAGTTAGGTAGTAGGCGGTGGGCAAGTGGGTACTTGTTACCCTCCAGCAACAAAAGTAAGTCAGAAACAGGTGCACAATGCTCTACTACAAATGCTGCTTCTGCCTTTACAATTTTCCAATCTAGTTCTTCTAAATTTTTAAAATATTCCACAGCATTGGAGTCACTGTCATCAAGTGTACGTACAAATTCAAAAATATCTTCAGCATAGTCACTAATACAATCAACAGATTGCACCCAAGAGTTCCACCTTGTCATGACAGGCATAGGGAAAAGTTTGGCTTTCTTAAATCCTATATCATTATTGTTTTGCCCATACTTGTCTTCCAGAAAAGAGATGTATCTGTTTGGATGCAAAGCAAAGACATCTATAAATAATTATCACATTAAAAAAAGGGAGAAAGGAGATTAAAGTTTGAATAAAAGGGAAGAAAACCTACCTATGCTTTCTTTTCCTTGTATTCAAGAATACTTGTTTGGTCTTGCTCACATATTCATTCAGTTTTGTAAATGCTTGTGAGGGAATCTTTTCCAATTTGTCCAGTTTATGGCTCCAACATTGAATGTGCAGCAGCTGCTCACCAATAATTCCTTTCAGGGTTCTGGCACAAGCAGTCATGTAGTCAGCAGAGTCACTTACAATACACTTCACATTTTTGTA